TGCCGGACATGTTGGCATCCGTCGGCCGAAGACCATGTCAATGCGTTTTGCAAAAAAACAAATGGTTGGGTACAGGGGCGAAACCAGAAAATTAGTTGAGAGGGGGCAAAAGATTGAACCCTAATTGGTTTAAAACTGATACCAAAGTGATAATATTTCGGTAACCAATTTTTTGTTACCGTAATACACATAAGTCGGTTCGGTTCGGTTTTCAGTAAAAAATTACCAACCCTAGCAATAAAAGTCTTTTATATGGGCCATTTAAAATTGTAGATAATGATAATAATTGATATACAAAATTAATAGCAGAATAAAAGAAGTGTTGAATTATTAATTGATAATTGTGGACAAGTTGTCCTTGTGAGTGACATTTAAAAACAAAAAATTTGGGGGTGCAAAAATAAATTTAAAGGGGGACAAATTAAATTTTTTAATATTAATAGTAAAAAAAAAAATAAATTTGATGGGGGCCAATTGCCCCCCTACTCATACATGTAAATTCGCCCATGGTTGGGTAACGAAGTGCCAAGGTCCCAAAGTCGTGACAGGAGCGCAAAAGTCGATAAGGTCGTGATGCCATATGCAATTTTGCCTATTTATAAATCACAAAATCTGGACAAAAATGCATACTTATAATAGTTAAGCGAATCGATTCTATTCGACCCGTTATATTTTTTTTTTTTAATTTTTTTTGACAAAAATGCATACTTATGAAAAATAATTAATTAGTACATAAACATATATAGATCTATAAATTATGATGTTTTTTAGGTTTTAATCTAAAATTAATACTTAATAATAGTGGTACTAAGTAGATAAATATAATATTCAATTTTCCTCTCTCACATAGCATTTTTTTAGTTAAAATATTGTTTATTTTAGACAAAACAATTAATGTAAAAAACAGACGTCATGCTTACCCAGTGATGACATCATAATATGCCTTTAATTATTGCACATTCATGTGCACCGCCTATATTCAGTATTCACCTAAGATGGACAAAATTATTTTGTAACATATTTTATTTTATATCTCATGAAAAGATGCACATTTTCTAGTTATATATTACTTTAAAGAAACTAAAGCTGATGAAGTTTAGACAAAAAGGAACATTTAATTAAATTAATCAAAAGTTGGATATTAGGTTTGACTTCAAGTGTGCATTAGTTTGTTTTCACTCATTTAACAAATTTAAAATTATGGACGAGTTATTTGAAATCAAATGATTTATGCATAATCGAAAATCCTCATATTGTTCATTCAAATTTTATAAACAAATACATAAATGAGTTGTTTGCAAACGGCTTGGCTCAGCCTCATTTAATAAACGAGCTCGATTAGTTTTTTTGAGTTAGGTTTATTTATTTAAACGAAATATCCAAACTCGAGCTTTCACGAACCGAACGAAATTAGCATTAACGAACAATACCCCGGTTTTGTAAGGTATATAATAGCACACTCTCTTATTTTAATTTGGGTCTTTTGTATTATTTACCAAAAAAAATGTGTCTACGCTCTTAATTTGCATCCTTCTATGTTTTTCACAATTTTTTCATTGGATTTAGGGTTTATTTTCAATCTTAACGATATAAATTAAGTTAAGGTAAGGCTACAGTCCCGTTACGGAACCATTCCGTTGGGATTTGTAGTCGTTAGATGCACATATATATTAGTGTAGCATTTGCATCTAACAGTTACAAATTCCAACATAATAGTTCCGCAACGGGATTATAGCATTTTCTTAAAAGTTATGTACCACGTATTTTAATCTTAATATATTTTTATATTTTGTGCCATTAGATTTTTAATTTTACTTGGTTTTTTATTCATTTAGAAATCTATTTATGCATTTTCATTGTTTTCTTAATAGTTTTTTCAATGTTAAATAAATAAAAGAAAACACACACACACACACACACACACAGAATACAACAAGAATTTCTGCAGAAATTCAAAAACAAAAGTCAACTTGATGCAACTTGTGTTGCCATAAAAACGCTGCAATTGACCAAGCAAAACTTCAACTTGGAGGTCAAAAATCACAATTTTGGCCTATTCTTGTATCTAAATTTATTTTAATTTATTTTGTATTTTTTTGAATCACAATTTTAACCACAA